CACACACACACACACACACACACACACACACACACACACACACACACACGCACGAACACAGACATGCATGCTCACTCTATGTGTGCATGTGTGTGGGTGTGTATGTGACTTATTGATTGATTGATTGATTGATTGATTGGCTGATTGATGATTGATGATTGACCCTGATTGATTGATTGGTGACTAATTGATGATTGATTGATGATTTATTGATGGGTGGATGGATGATTGATTTGATTGGTAATTGATTGGTTCATTCATTCATTCATTCATTCATTCATTCATTCACGATTTGATTGATTGATTTTTTTTCCGATGACCTAGGAGGAGACCGAAAAAGCAATTGTCACATGGTGGAGGGTTTACCACCCCCAAAAAATAATATTTTTTTGAGAAACTGGGTTTGAAACAGGCAAGAATAACACTAAATGGCACTGCCGTCATAGTGCAACTTCAAAACGCGCACTTTTGGCCTCTTCCCTCCCCTTCCCCCCCCTTTCCCATCAGACACCACGGCCCTGTAGTGATGACACCAGTGGCTTTGTCACGGCCACTGTCGTTTGTTATGCCTGCATTTTTATTTTTTTTTGCACATTCCGAACGTGAGTTGTGACGCGGTCGCTGTTGCCCCTTTTTCTTTCCTAGTTTCTTTTCAATAGGGGGCGAGAAGCCGCTCGCCACATCCCCCCATGCTCAGGGCCCATCTGGAAGGCCCTTCTTTGGGCATCCAAAAACGCCGCGAACGGCAATTCACTGTGGCTCACCGGGTAGGCACTGGCCGGGGGCTGCGCGCCGTTTCACTCTGACCCGCCAGCGCAACAAAAAAACTTGTTCTGGCTGGCGGCGCCAGCCTTTGAGGGCCGGTACCCCGAGCCTCCGGAATTTGCGGGGTGTTAACGGCAACGCCCCACAATGCCCCACGGCCGATGTATAGGCCAAGTACTGGTGGTTTAAACTGCCAGCACCTTTCCCATATGTCGGCCGCTCGGCCCTGCACACAAAGCTTTGCAGGCGTTATCTCCCTGTTACCCAGCGCATCTCGGCAAAATGCAAAATGGCTGGGAAAGGGACGTACTACTGGTGGTTTAAAAAGCGGACAACCAAACACTGGGAACTCACAAAAGGAGGCTCTCTTTCATAACAGGCCCCTTTCTCATGTAACCCTTTATGCACACACAGCTATGTACACCCCCAGAAAGGAACTAGGAACTAACGGCCATGAAAGGACAAGAGACAAATTCAAATGAAGTAAAAAATCCAACTGCTATCCTTGGTTTTTCTGGGGGGGAGGGGGGGGCAAACATTCACCTGGGTAGACTAGTCGGGGTGATACGAGCATCCTCCACTAGGACAGCAAGTGGCAAATGGCTCCAATCTATTTCTGGGGAGCAGCACTTGGTGGAACTGCTATCCTTTGCTTGGAAGGTAGTTTCTCCAATTCTGCAAAAAGCAAACGGCTTGCTCCCTGATACAGATAAGATAGAAGACAAGCAATGGCCAATTGCCCTTTACACACAAATCAGTATGGAAAAACGTGCACGCATTCCTCTACGTTTCAACCAGGTGCGCTCTGGTCTCATCAGGAGGCATGCCACATACCCAGCGCCTTGCAGCCCACCTACACTTACCACCCACGAGCGTATGAGGGCCGTCCTGGCCTTGTCCTCAATTAATACCTACGGCCTTCCCTTGCACGCACCCGCCACATTCTCTCCGAAGTTCTGATTGGCTAAACAATCCTGCATCGGATCTGCGTACGGCCTTGTGGAGCCAGCCCAATCTCTCATTCCTGTGCAGTACATGTGTGCTGGACTGCCATGCTCTTCCCAGGTAGTTCACGTATTCACCCTGGTCCGTAGGTACCTGGTGATTCAAAACTGTAGCCTCCGCTTCCTATTCCTGCCCGAAATCCGTTACACCGCCTACCTCTACCACATCTCCTCTCTGTCCTACCCGTACCTCAGTTTCCCTCCGGATTTTGAAACAAGCGGGCACTAGTACTGTCACAACGTGCCCGATTTCCAATCGCTGGTGCGCGCCAAACGCGCGTATTTTGTAACGGACTAGAAATTACCCTAACCCTCACTGACTATCGTACAGTCACTATCTGCAGGTCCTATCGGGTGCAACCCTCGCGCTAATCTGCAGCACACCCAGACTACTTTACATTTCCCCATATCTAATACCCAGCACTGCCACGTTCTCATTATTCCTCCACCCACCTCGTATCTCAAATTCCCACCAGAATTTGAAATCCCGCCGGCACCGGTACCGCTACCACGCGGCGGATTTTTCCGAAACGTTGGAGTTCGCAACCGTGCGTAAAGACTACTAACCCATACTGATCCGAATACTACGATATAATCCACTGCCCGCCCAAAAGATGTTTTACGTTTGTCCCTCTTATTTTATTTACAGTATTACCACGTTTTTTCTTGTATTTTCTACGTATGCCCCTGCCAAGCCGCTATTCCCGTAAATATCCGGCAAACCGGAATTAATGAATTACTCTATTAGTAAGGCACTCCAGCGGCGGGGCCGTCCCCCCCACACACACACCCGTTATCCTTTCCTCCTACTCTAGACTCCTATCCTTACCTAATT